GATATAGGATACATATTTTGGTATTTTCAAACTTTTTTACTCGTATCCAAGAACATTTCTTTTATTTAAAAAAAAGATTGGGTAGAGTATATCTAGTTATATCTTGAGTTGTACTTCGTACCTCATAACTTTCTTTACCATATAAATTTTTGCGTAAATAATAAAATTAAAACATATAAAAGAAATGTGTGGTTAGATGAGTGCTGGGGTAGAACTTGCTCGTGTTAAATTTGGTGTATCACTCGCATTACTCTTCATCAAAATATTTGTTTGGGAAAAGACAAGATAAAGGGAATAATAAAGCTAGGCTAACACCACACTCGTGCCTTCATTGATGTTTCCATGCTTTCCACAGACACGCGCAGACGATAATCGTATGTGCCACACAGACTCTAACAGAACAATCATTTATTCCAAGGCATAATAGATTATTTGATGCTAATAGCCCAAATCAGCCCCTATTTGGCCCAAACTCGAACCAAATAATGTCGAACCGCTTTGAGTTTCACCCAGATTGAATAGATTGTATCTTCGATCTCTTTTAATTTAGAATTTGAGACTGATTGAGAATGATCAAAGATATAATTATTGAATTGGATTGCACAATTGATTGGCCAGATTAAACCTAACATTGATGCTTACGGGTCGCATGACAGTAAATGTAGGTGTTACGGTAACATCCGACAGTGAATTGCTATTTATATTAATAGTAATAATATGATGACATAATTACTCTAAAGAGATTGGTGACATGAATATATTGATAATATTAAAGAGTCGATCTAGAAGAATTATGAGAAGGGCTTGAACTGACTACAGACGATAATTGTTAATAGGATTTGTATAAGTAGCGAGCACCGCCCTGAAATATGTTGGAAGAACATACAGAAAGATGATTTGATGACGACGATAACGAAGACCTAAAAGGTATTGAAATGGATTAAGGAAATGTGTGGACGTGAGTGATTTATTAATGGGACGCTTTCTCACTCTTCCGGTGAACAACTATAATTGGTCTTACTAAGATTATTAAGTAAAATGCTAGGGGTACACCAAAAGTGTATCCAAACATCCTCACCCCCTCAACCACTACAAAAAAGGCAAGAAATTCAAAAAAAACAAAAAATAAAAACAAAATAAAGTTAGTTAGTTTCCATTCTCTATTCCTAGTTGTGTTAGGAGTCTCTCCTATATATATACTCTATCATGTACTTCATAATTCAATGAGCAATATTATTATTTCCCATATTTCAACATGGTATCAGAGCCACCGCTCTTGGTGACCAAAAAAAAGTTCTTTGCTCCCACCGCCGCCGCCGGTAATTCTGGCGACGGCAACTCCCTCCTATTCACCTCTAATTTTTTCCATCTTTTATCCTCAAATCAACTTCTCTATTCAAATGAAAAAAAAAAGAAAAAAAACTCATGTTGAAATCACACAAAAAAAAACCATCAAAGGAGAAACTTCTCTCTTGTCATCTTCATTGTTCTTCGAAAAAAACCCAACTCCTCACAAACTCTCTCAACTCATCATATCTTCTCAAAAAAAGAAAAAAAAAATTGTTGTTTCTCTCCAATTCACCATATCAAAATTTCAGATCCAAATCTCTCTTCCATCACCAATTCTTAACTCACTTTTCTCTCTCTCAAATCACTCATTCTAATCATCAACCTCCCTTCTCTTTCTCTTTTGTTGAACCAATAAAAATCCAAAAACAAAACAACTCAAAAGCAAAGCGAAAAGGGAAAGTAGTGAAAGAGGAAAGAATACCTCTACACCCCTTCAAGAAAGAAATAGGGCATTGCCCGGATCCAAGAAAAAGACAAAGAATGTCAAAGATCTTCAGTCAAACAGGCACCTCCAGTAGCCTTCTCTATTCTTCTTCGACGTCAGCAGCTACAAGCGCACGTCAACCTTCTCTCTTGTTCATCGACGTCAGCAGCTACTAGCGCACGTAAACTTCTCTCTTCTCCAACGACGTCAGCAGCCACCGGCGCATGTCAGACTTCTTCTTCTCCAACGACGTCAGCAGCCACCGACGCATGTCAGACTTATCTCTTCTCAAAGTTTCTAGTTTCCAGCTAGTGTCCAAGTTTCCTCTTGCTTCAGCCAGAGTTCAGCTTGAGGGGATGTAACGCCCCGAAACCCGGCCTATCAGAATTAATTAATTGGAAATAATTAATTAATAACTGAGACGGACCCGGTGGGAATTAAATATACCTTTCGTTTAATATTTAAAATTATACCGTTATGTAGGGTTCGACGGATCGAGTCTATCGGTGTAACCGGATTCGAAATTGGAGTTAGTAGGGCCGGAAAGTACAATTTGGGCCAGGTACGTTTAGTCAATACGGAGCCCAAAACCCCAAAAGTATAAATACACCCCTCACACGCCCTAAACCCCTATGCCTCACCACATTCACGTAACCTCCTCCCCACTATCTCACGTCTCTCGTCTCTCTCGATCAAGGCAGCAGCGACGCACGAAGGAGAAGAAGAGAAGAAGGAGAAGAAGGGAAGAAGAAAGAAGAAGAGTCCGACGCCGTCGTTCGTGAGTACCATATCGTAGTTTAACCATCGAACTCAAGGTGAGAACGTGGTCATCTAACGTATGGATTATATTCGTAGGTTTGAATCTTACGTTCGTAGAATCGTTACGGTTGATTTATGTGGACTATACGTGAGTTAGGTTTTGTGCCTGTGTTTATGGTTTGAAAAACATGAGTTGTGTTGGAATGATTGAGGATAAGCTATGAAATGCTAGGTTAATGTTTCATGATCTATTATGCTTGTTATCACTGTATGGGTACTGCCAAAGGGACAAGAAACGGAGCTGGTGCAGGTCTGGTGTTCGCCGCGACAGACGGTAGGGGGGTGCCGTTGACACGGTACCCAGCTACCGCCAGCTTTCCGGGTTTCGTTCTTCTCTAGCGGTACCTACTTAGGACGGGACCCAGGTGCCGTGTGACGGTAGACCCTACCGCCAGGGGCTACCGTGACGGGCTACCGGAGGGATCCCAACTGACACGGACGGTACCCCGTACCGTGGGGGACGGTACCCTGGTGCCGTGGGGTCGGTAACCCCTACCGCCAAGGGGTACCGTGAGGTACCTGTACCGGGCTGGATTTTGTTGTTTGCGTCGAGGATCGATTCCGAGACCTTGTGTGTTGCATGACGGTAAACATGGGTGTCTACACCCAGTGTTAGGCCGCTATTTGATTATGTTGGACATCTTGTGAAACGGATTGTGGATTTATGAATGTTGTATTATGTATTGATTAATGAATGTTGGATATGCTGCCTAGAAGAACTCTAGGAAATGGCCTGAATGGATTAGTGGCAAGGTATGCCATAAGTACAGCTAGTTAGAGCCATGTGGTACCTGCTGGGTCCAATGGTTGTCCAGGTAAAAACGTGTACACGGGGATCTAAGAACTGTCGTTCCGAAGGGGACAGGGATCTCACCCACCCAACGAGGAACTCCCGAGTTGGTTGAGCTTGGCCTTCGTTCTGAAGGGGAAGGTCATGACTCCATAGGCAAGTTGTAATCAATTGAGCTTCTACCCAGTCTAGGTTAAGAGCCGAGTACCGAAAAGAGCATAGGGCAGTGGAAAATTGAGAAGTTACCATTGTACTCTTGTGACTTGTTACTCTTTAATGTTGATGTTTAATACAACTGTTGTATTCTGTATGTTGTGTAAATATGATGAGCATGTTGTGTGCATGATATCGTAAGGTGATATGGGCTAGTGGGATCGCCTAAGGGTATAGCTGTATGTTAGATTTATCTCACTTAGCTTCAATGCTGAGCGTGTAGCCCTTTTTCCTGTTTGCTACACGTAGGTAATCCAGGAAATGATGAGCTTGGAGCCAATCCCGGAGGGCGATGAGGAGGCTGAGATGTGCGTGGCAGTGTTCGACGATTTTGAACTCTTATTTATTTCCTGAATTAACTTATTACTATTTCGGGCATGATTCCCAAGTTGTGTTTTGGATTATGAATTTAGCTTCCGCAACTGTTTGGATTTACTCTGATGGATCTTTAAATATTGTTTTGAATTAAATGTTTTAAATTGTTGTGAAAATTATTGTGTTTGAATGCCAATTTAGTAGCAACCCGATCCGCTGGTCCATGTTTACGTGATTTTATTAAGTATTTGATAAAATAAAATATTCTTGTCACCTCTTGTTTTGGAGAACTTTTGACCTAGTTTTTTAATATGTAAATTTTATATTTTATTGATATACCAATTTGTATATAAAATGATTTCAAAAAGTAGGAAATTTTTACTCCGTAACCCGCAACTTGTAATCAAATTAGGGACGGATGAAGTAATTCATATATGCTGATGGTACAAATTATTTATTTCGTTTCTTAAAACTCTTTATCTATCATTTTTTGTTTCCCTTAAACACTCGCTCTAATTTTTTATTATTAAAAAACTACTTTAAACTTACTTTTTCTTACACTACCTATCTTACCATATTTTTTCATTTATAATTTATTCATCATATCTTATTTTTATCGATTACATCAAAGGCAAAATTCAACCACAAATATACGCTCCTTATTCCTCCTAAAAGCCATAATAGAAACTGTTTTATGAAACGGATGGCTTTTTTTACTACTGCGACAGTGGGAAAAATAGCTCCTTGTATCCGTCGAACACGTAATAGTTCAAAGGATCGGACTAAGTTAATATTCTGACTTATGCCTCGCTATTTGTCGGCTGTCGGGCCGAGATAATCAATCCACCTTTACGAATAATTAATTAATGCAAAATTCTTCTTAGGAAATACTCTAAATTTCATTTGATAAAATGATATATTCATGTCACGATTAATTTTATAGATTTTTTATTTAATTTTGGAAAGAACACAAATAATAAAACGAGTTATAAAAAAATACTCGTAATTTTGAGAGAGAGAGGGGTCTATATACTCTAGAGTCCACGCTAGACTGGCAGTACACGCCCAGTATTAAAGACTTTGGATGGGACAAAGTCCCAAAGCCTTCTTTTTAAGACCCCCCCCCCCCCTCTCCTTACAGGCTATTTTCAATTTCCTCCATTCCTATCCAGCCAAACGCTCCCTTCTCCTTCCTTCTCTCACTCACTCACCCATGGAGTTGGGTCTGAGCTTAGGAAGCGGCGGCGGTAGCGGCCCCGCCGCCTTCATACAACCCTTCCCGTTTCTTGAAAAAAGAAAAAAGCCCGCCCCCGCCCGAACCGCCGACCCTTTGGGCTTCTGCATGGGCCTTGGAACCGCCTGTAGCCCCCCTCGCGAACCGCCTCCGGTTCCGCGCGATTTCCTCCCGGTTCACCCACCTGCACGCCGCCCACTCCGCTTCCGTTGGCGCCCGGGAGCTCGTAAGTACACAGCCACCACAAATGTGACATTTTGTATATATGTATAACTTGACACAAATAAATGTTACAGATTATAAAAGTTTAATTTATGTATCCAAATTAAATACTAATAAAATGAACTTCACATAATACCGAATCCTTTAATTTTTTTCTCGAAATGTGAAACGTAAAGATTTAACTTTAGTTCTTGTTAAATAGGTGTGCCCGAACCGGGTTTGTTACGCGGTCCGCCCGGCATGTGGCTGGACAAGAACCAACGGCCGGCGGAGGAGGAGCACGCGGGGGCGGCACCGCCCTCTTTGAAGATGGGCATTTCCGACTTGAGAACCGGGGTTTTGGGGATGAAGGATAACTGTGACGGCGGCGGTAGTGGCGGCAACGGCGACGGGGAAATGGAGAGAGGCGGCTGTTCGTCGCAATTGATGAGGGGAAGCGACGAGGAGGAGAACGGCGGTGGGTTGGGAAGGAAAAAGCTTAGGCTGACCACAGAACAGGCGGCCTTTCTCGAACAAAGTTTCAAAGAACAAAACACTCTTAATCCAGTGAGTTTTATTAATTACTTCTACTTAAATTCCCATTTATTTACTCATCCCGTCCGAAAAAGATGTCACATTATTCGAAACAAAACAAAATTTTAACTTTTTTCAATTATTTTTTAAAGATTGGCATATAATCAGTTAAAACACAGAAGTAAATAAAATTTTCTACAACTTTTGAATAATAAAGTGTGATGTTCTTCTTGAGACATGGTATTTTTTTAAAAAAAAATTATTTTTTGAGTTTATTATTTTTTAGGTAAATGTTTTTTTGGTTATTAATTAGGGAGCATTTTTTTTATCTAACTTTATGTTATATGAATGTGAATATGGCAGAAACAAAAGGTTGCTTTAGCAAAGCTGCTGAATCTTCGTCCACGCCAAGTTGAAGTGTGGTTCCAAAACAGAAGAGCAAGGTATATTTTGTCCTATCCAAAATGTGCCAGTACATTTTTTTATAAAACACATTTTTATTTTACTTCCTATTTATTTATATACCTCGTATATATTTTCATTTATTATTCCATAAAATATACTTCATTCGTTATAAAAAAAATTGTTTTTCTGTGATCTTAAGTTTATATAAATTAAGAATTTCTTCACATTTTTAATGACTTATAAATAGATCTTTTTTTGCTAAACCCAATTATTTTACCAAAATCAATGTAATAAGGTCCATCAAACGAGCATGGTCCTTAGAATCGCAGAAGAATTTGTTTTAAAGAGATTCTAATTGTTTGAATTCATAAAGATATACCGAGTAAGATGGAAAACAAAGTAAAAAATGTGTGATTGATATTTATTATTCTTTTTCTTCCCGAGTACTTGTTTAGTTTTGACATTTTATACCCAATTAGATTCGACCATTGACCGATAATTAATGAAAAATTATATAGTACTATATTAATTACATTAAATAATATTTTGAAGATATTTTACAAGATAAAGTATATAGATATCTAATATAAATTTTATTTAATTAATGGTCAAAATTTACTAATTTTAACTACAAAAAGTTAAAATTAAAGAAATATTTTAGAAAGGTGGTAGTAGATAGAGAATCATAGATATCCTTAATTATGTTCTATATTTGTTTTCTAAAGATAAAATGGAAAAATTAAAAATCATTTTTAAAAAACCCGAAAAGGAAAATGAAAAATTCTTTAAAAGACAGCTCGAGAAACTCTTGAGTTAATTTTTACTTAGTTTTACAGTTTCACGCATAAATTTAAATAAATTTTGTGTAAAAAATATATTTACAAAAGTAGTTGGTATTAAAATTAAAAATAAAATTTACAATATCTACATTGCATAAAAATTCTACTCCCTTTGTTCCTGAATCTCCTTATTTGAATTCTTATACTCTGAATCTCCTTTTTCAATTTTTTTTTGATGTGATAGATAAAAGTATGATGCGATTGATAGTTATTAGTGAATACGTATGATATGATAGGTAAGATAAAAGTTAATAATAATAAAAGTAATATTTTCAACATAAAGTAGAAATTAATTTTGGGACAAAAGGAAAAAAAGTAAAAAACATTCTAACTTTAAGGGACCAAAGAAGTACTTCCTCCGTTTCTTAAAACCCTTCCTCTTTTATTTTTTTTGTTTTCCTTAAAACACTTCCTTTTTCTATTAAAAAATCACATCATACTTTTTCACTAATAGCTAAACTATCACATCAGGGGCAAAATTGGAAAATCAACTAAAATTATACTTTCCTTATTTTACCCTAAAGTTAAAACAAGAACCATTTTAAAAAACGGAGGGAGTATAAAATAAAAGGTGAGATGATTATATTGAAGAAAATAGAGTAATAGATTAATAAAGCGGCTTGTTTCCCGTGCATGGAGGATTAATATCATGAGATGACCCGGGGTGCCTAATTAGAACCGGATCATATATAGTAATCCCTCCGTCCCCCATAGATCTTCCCAATAGTCCTTTTTCTTTGTCCACAATAGATCTTCTCATTTCATTTTTTAACAATTAAAATACCACAACTACCCCCACTTACTTTATTTATTACACCTCACCCACCTCATTTAATACACTCCACCCATTTTTCATTAAGGGTATTATGGTAAACTTTTACTTTTTTTCAACTCTCCTTAAAAACCACTAAAAGTCAAAATGAGAACATCTTAGGGGGACGGAGGGAGTATGACATTGAGATTTAATGTGACATGAACCCACCCGTCTCCCTTAATAAAGATCACAAAAATAGAAATATGTATGTGTATGTTTGTAGGATTAAGCTGAAGCAGACGGAGGTAGACTGCGAGCATCTAAAGAGGTGCTGCGAGAGACTGAAGGAGGACAACAAAAGGCTGCAGAAGGAGCTTCACGAACTCCGGGCACTCCACGCCGCCTCCTTCTACGTGAACCTCCCCCCCACCACCCTCACCATGTGCCCTTCCTGCGAGCGCGTCTCCTCCTCCTCCACCGCCCCCGGTGCCGGTATCCATCAGAGCCCACAGAAACCGTTTCATCCTCAACCGCATGCGGCGTCGTAATCGTGGGTGACCGGTTATATATTAGTGTCTGTTTAGTCTTCCGTTTGTGGGGTGGGGTATGTACATGCAAATTAAAAATGTCTTAAGACATCTCTCTTTTTTGTTTGTATTATTATTAAACAAATATCCCTAGATATATAGGAGTAAATTGTCATAAACATATCAAAAAATAATTAAGAATGACCTTGTTTTAGTCCCCTAAACATGAGTTTAATTTGGCTGCGTAATATGATAATACATCAGTGTAAATAGTGAGGTGCGGTGATAGTGCAATAGTGGATCACCGGTCAAAAAAGAATAGACCTTAGGGTCAAAGGGAAATGTGTGATTGTTTTGACATTAGGGTCAAATGTCTTAAAATGACCTTAATTAGCTTGATAGCAAGATTTAATTAAGCCACTTACAGTAAGTCGTTCGAAAAATTGATATTTAATACGAGTAACTTTTAATTCCCATGGTAAACCCATCCTCATGCCGGCCTAATTGACCCTTGACACTTCTCAATTGCATCTTCAGATTTAGATGACTTTGTGGTCAATTTTTTTTTTTTTGAAAATCAACTAAACTTGTGAGGTTAACCAGAGGGTTAAAGAAGTAAGATTTACCATGCATTTTTAAGAAAACAAGAGGCATGTAAAATTAACTTATTAACGGAGGCCAGGGTGCCGCGTGGGAGTAATTAGCATTGAATATGTGAAGACAGTATGATTATTGTGGTAATTAAGCAGACGATTAAATTGGTGACAACTTACCTGAAAACGAGGGATTGGTTGTGTTGTGTAACCATAGTTTGGTGTCCATTAATTTGTTCTGTTTCATCTCATTTTTTGGATAACTATGCGGAGATATCTATAAAACTTTCATTTGACAAACAATTTTCTTTTTTTTTTTGGTATATATGGATGGCTCCAAAAATCTTAATGATGTAATTAACTCACTCTTATCTTGCATGTTATTTAAAGTTCCACCAATTTCCCGAAGGGTACCAATAAACCAAATCATGATGTCTCATATAATAATGATGGAGTAATCTATTCGTTTACCTCTTCTTAATTTCCTTCTATTAATCAATCATATACTTAAATTATATTTAAGTTCCTTTTTTTCTAAAATTTCCTTACCTTGCATGTTTATGTATTTAAATCCATCACATTTGTATGTTTAGTATACGTGTTAGTAAACAAGATGATTTAAAAGTGATGTAGTATTAGAAAAAGTAAATAGTACGGAGTATTAAAAAAAGAATTAGCCAATCATAATTTTCAATACAAATATTTTACTATGATTTATTCTACGAGAGCTTCTTTGGTGCATTTTGGACAAAAAACTGCTCCTGGGTACCCCGTATTTTGAGAAACTAACTGCCGGGTACCTCATATTTTTAAAATATACTCCGAGGTACCTTCTATTTTGAGAAACTAACTATCAGGTACCTCACATTTTTAAAATATACTTCGAGGTACCCTCTATTTTGAGAAATTAACTATCGGGTACCTCACATTTTTAAAATATATTCCAGGATACCTCCAAATATACATTAATTTTACGCCATTAATTTTAAGAAATAGGAGTTTGGAATTATTTTAATTTGAAGAAATTTGTACTCAATACTTTTAAAATTGAGTACTCAACTTTCTTAAAATTAATGACGTAAAATTAATGTATATTTGGAGGTATCCTGGAGTATATTTTAAAAATGTGAGGTACCCGATAGTTAGTTTCTCAAAATAGACGGTACCTCGGAGTATATTTTAAAAATGTGAGGTACCCGATAGTTAGTTTCTCAAAATAGAAGGTACCTCGGAGTATATTTTGAAAATATAAGGTACCCGGCAGTTAGTTTCTCAAAATATGGGGTACCCCAGAGCAGTTTTCTGCATTTTGGAGGCATATCAATTTTATAGACATTCTTACATAAACTTTTTTTTAATTTTTTTATTTTCTTCATATGTAGGTTCACCATAGGATTTGTCTTATTCTACTCCCTGTAATTTATTCTACTCCTCGCATCTCAAAATAATTGGCCTAGTTACTATTTTTGCTTTTCGATAATTTTTGTTTACAGATACGTTTTTCATTGATTATTTAATAAAAATTCAAATAGTCATGTCAGCATTTGTTTTGTAGAAAAACATGTATGTTATATTTTTAATTTCTAAACCACTTTACAAATAAAATTATTTAAAAAGAATAAAATTTCACACATTATTCATAGGAGGATAATTTTTAAGGGATGGAGGAAGTATATATAATTTGGGAAAAGTGCACCGTTAACCCCTGAACTCTTTGAAATTTGCATGGTTTACTTTTGAAAAATTGAAAAGTGCATCGTTTACTATTAAACTCTTCGAAAATCGCATAATTTACCCCTAAACATTAAAAAGTGCACTAAATATCCGTGAACAATTTAAATTGTTACACTGTTGGTCATAAAAAACTTGATAGGGGATGCGTTGCTCCCACACACGGGAATTAGGAGTATGATTGATCTGGCCCTTGTGACTTCTCCAAAATACCCTTCCCCAAAATTATCGTTTTTATTTAGGTGTTAAGGGGTAAACTGTGTAATTTCAAAGAATTCAGGGGTATTTAGTGCACTTTTTAATATTTAGGAGTAAATCGTGCATTTTCTGAAAAATTCTGGTTAGTGCATTTTTTAATATTCAGGAATAAATCATACAATTTTCTAATAATTCGGAGATAAATTTAGAAAGTACACCACCGAGAATTTAAAAAAAAATGTTTGAAAGGAACGAAAGAATAATATGGTAGAGAATTGATATTACAGAACATAAAAAAGAATAGATTTGACATCTTTTTAGGAACAAAAAGAATAAACATAATAAACTTCTATCGTCCCAAAATATCTTATTTTTAGAATTTATGATGTTTAATTGAAATTATATTTAATTATCGTTTATAAATGGGAATGGAAGTAAGTAGATAAACTTTCCTCTAAAAAAGAAGTCACATTTTTTGTAAAGGCAAATTGAAATTTTCTCTGCATGGGCCTTTAGTATAAGATTAGTGATGATTAGCCAATCAGCCCATGCTATATCTCGAAACTAAAGGCCCAACTATTTTTAGGTGTGTTTTAACCATAAGAACTCAAAATTCATCATATTAGCAGAAATGGTAATATGAATTTAGGGTGGAATTATATGCCATTTCTGGTCAGTCAAATTTTTTTAAAAAGAAAAAACCTCTCACTATTACAAAAACGACCAAATAAATCGTCCAATTTGCATCGGTAAGCAAAACAAACGATGTTGCATCGGTTTTAACAAAAATGGCGCCATATTCTGTGAAGGGCTTTTGTATCGGTTTTAACAATCGATGCAAAAAGTGACCTGAGTATTTGCATCGCTGGCTTTTGCATCGGTTCAAAACCGATTTAAAAGGGTCCAAATAACCGATTTAAAAGGTCATTTTTGTAGTAGTGTCATTAGCTAATTATTGTACACAAACTCATTTATGTCTAAGTTTTAAGAAAATCTTTTTAACGCGCTTAAATTAATTTGCTATGATATTAATATTACAACATTGATATTTTAATATTCATAATTAAGACACTATACTATAGTAAATATGGAATATTAAATGAATATTTTGTGTGAATCCTTTATATATAAAAAGCAGACTCTGAACTTCAAAAACATGACATTTGGCAGAGTTGATCGATAATAAACTTTGCCTTCTTTTAGGCCACAAAATTTTGGAAACCGGCCTTAGCGGGATTGCACTTCTCTGATGCATTCAAAACCACAACAGATCATTATATTTGGCACGAAAAAATAAAAAAAGACAAACCACATTCCCATTGTCTTTCAAAACTGGTCAGACAAATATGCAAAAAATTATAAATTAAATTATAATTTATCCCGCTATCGTTTTTTCATTAATCGAACCCGAATATTAGTCGGGCAATGGGACGAGGAGTACGACAAGGAATTGAAAATGGGAAGACAAAGACACAAAGGAAGGAAACTAAGGGAAGTAATAATAAGAGAGACATTTACATATAAGAGCAAAAAAGGCATGCACGTAGGAGTGTTTGGTTAACAACAACATAAATGCAAACAACCTACCAAAGGTGCACAAAGACATTATTCACACTATTTTGTGTATTTTATATACTACACGTGTATGTGAATATTCGTTCAAATTTGATTTTTCAATGTCAAAATTAATAAACTTTGAGTCTAAATTAAAAAAATTTGATTCAATATTTTATAAAATTTATTTAAAATATTATTATATTATCTAATTAATATGTCAAAGAAATTTTATTTAATTATAATTCAAATATTGAAAATACTCCGTATAAAACTGGAAAAAATATTAAAGACAGAAGAAAACATTTAATGCTGAAAGTTCACGAGTTAAGCCCAACAGTCATAAAGGTGCAGGGTTGTATTGATTAATGAATAGTTTGAGTGGTGATGATGATGATGATGATCATCATCATGAATACTCCTGCGTACAGTTCCTAGTTTTATTTACCATTTTGTTGGGAATATTTACAAATAAGTCACATTTTTTTTGAATGAAAACTATTTGTTGGGAGTATATACTCCCTCCGTCCCACTCTTTTTGTCCACTTTCATTTTTACATACCATCCAATGCACTTCTTTAATCCATTTTATCTTGTAATTTGTATATTAAAAAATTATAAAAATTATATATTAATAATCTATATGTTAAGACAAATCAAACAAGATCACACATGACTATTTTTAGACTTACATATAGAGAGAATTTGATGAGTCAAAGTGCTTAGATGAACAGTTCCAAAAGTCAAAACTGGACAAAAAGAGTGGGACGGAGGTAGTAATTTGTAAGAAAAATGCTAGGGGTACACTACAGGTGTACCCCATATGTCCCCCACCCCCTTCTTGGCCACATAAAAAGGCAAGAAATTAAAAAAAAACCAATTAAGGTGTTTGACCAATGTTAGACACTTAGAGTACAAAACCAATTATAAACCTTCACTTTTTGACCACAAGCTTGAATTTGTGGTTAAATTAGAGTCTTGACATGCATGACATTTTAGTCTTACTACAGTGCCTAATTTCAAAAAAAATATTTTCACATGTAAGGATCGAGTAAAAATATATCCTCATACAAGCGAAGGGACGTGTTAAAGTATAAAATCAATCCTGCACATGTTTAAATTTTTGATTGAAG